GACAGGCAATGTGATATAATGGGTAGAGATCTGGATTTAATCTCCATCTCTCTCACTAGTGTTTGGGCAAGCCCCAAAGCCCAGGGGCTGTTCTTTTGCCTCTGGCATGTAGTAGGCGCTTAATAAATGGTGATTGATTGATCTCTAGTCCAAACCCTACCTGGATAAGAATGTCTCCCTACACCATACCCCCCAAATCATCATGCAGCCTCTGTCTGGAAGATCTCAAATGAGTGAGAATTCCTCCTTAATGGCAGCCCATTACACTGGGAGAGGAGGGAGATTCTAATGCTTAGGATGTTTTTCCTTATGTTCAGCCACAATCTGTTTCTACTGCTCTTGCCGTCTGAGGTCAAGCAATAGTCTGGGTCCTCTTCCCCAGGAGAGCCTTTCATCACGCCTCCCGTCTGCCTTCTCCTCGCCTCCCTCCTCACCATCAAAGAGGCAGAGTAGGCCTCATCTTGTGCAAGAAGTCTTTCCTGAGTCCCTCAAATGCTAATGTCCTCCTTCCCAAGCTACCTGGTATATAGATTTGTATTTATTCACTTTACATTTATGCTGCATTTATTTCTTTACATACCTGTTGTCTTCTCCATTAGATGGTGAGGTCCTTTTGAGCAGAGTGGACTTATTGTATTTATTATTTGAGGCAGCTAGCCTGTTAGACCAGGAGTCAGGAAGACCTGAGTTCAAATCTAACCTCAGATGCTTACTAGCTGTGTGACCCTGGGCAAGTCACTTAACCTCTGTTTGCCTCAGTTTATTGTCAGATGGAAGAGATAATAGCCCCTTCCTTCCAGGGTTGTCAGGAAGATTAAGTGAGATGATATTTGTAGAACACTTTGCAAACTTTAAAACACTATAAAATAATTAGCTATTATTTTCCATTGTATCTGTATCCCTAGAGAACAGCACAGTGTCCGGCATAGTGGAAAGAATTCTCGTTAAAGGGCCTAGATTCAAATTCTTCTTAATGTTTATTCCCGACATGACCTTGGGCAAATTACTCAACCTTCTGGGCTTCAGTTTGCTCATCTCTAAAACTAGGGGCCTCTTCTTCTTTTTCTTGTGGTAATTGGGGTTAAGTGACTTGCCCAGGGTCACACAGCTATTAAGTGTCAAGTATTTGGTCTGAGGCCGGATTTGGACTCAGGTCCTTCTGACTTCAGGGCCGGTGTTCTATCCACTGTACTACCTAGCTGTCCCGAGGGACCTCTTCTAAGTCTATAATCTATAATTTATGATCTCCCTAGTTCTTTCAACCTTTCTTGAGATGGCACAGACCTAAGACCCTTCAGCATTCTAATTGTCCAATCTATTGAGGTCCTGTTCAGTTTTCAGTCATCAAAGGGTAAAATGCTACTTCCAAAATCTTTGTTTTGGGCCTCAAAATTTAAACCCATCCCACTGGGCCTCAGGGTACTGTGGTATTGTGGGGGTCACAGCAGGAGAAGGACCTTGAAGCTGATAAGAACCCATGGCAGTCAGATAAAAACAGACACAGTCTCATCCGGCCAGATAACATCCATCTCCTTCCTGCCAAACTTCACCCCTCATTTTAAATGGCCATTGGGTACTCTAGAGGTGCCAAGTATGGGTTGCGACTTCAGAGAGGGAGTGGACAAGGAATAGACCCATACCTTATTTCTGTGCCAATATCCTCAGGACGGAAACAAACAGAAATAAAGTTACAAAAATAAACAGGATACGATAAAATAAAATGAGATAATACGAACGGTGCCGGAAATGCTGTATCCAAACATCATTTTTTTAGGATTTTCCACAGGGCTTTGGCTGTCTGTCAGTCTGGAGCCTCCTGGGCACCAACGTGACTGGTTCCACACCCAGGGGCGAGTCTTGTTTGTTGTTTCAAAGCAAGCCCACCTCGCTGCAAATAAAAGCCATCTTCTACATAAGGCCTTTCTTGATTTCCCCAAACACTAGTGGCCTCCATCCCAAACTACCTTGCATTTAGTTAGTTTATCTATATATACATACATTTTTATGAATTTTATAATTGTTGGATATATTTTAAAATGTTCTTCTTGTTTCCCCCATTAGAATGTAAATTCATGATGAGTATCTTTGTATTTGTGTCCCTAGAGCCTGGCACATAGTAGGCCTAAATAAATGCTTGTTGATTGATTAATTGCCTCTGGAAAGGTCAGATCAATGGGTCTATGGGTCACCTTGGGGCAGGTAGGTGGCATAGTGGATAGAGTGCTGGGCCTGGAGTCAGGAAGACATGAATTGGAATTCAGCCTCAGATCCTGGACAAATCACTTAACCCTGTTTGCCTCAGTTTCCTCATCTGTAAAATGAGCTGGAGAAGGAAATATCAAATCACTTCAGTGTCTTTGTGAAAAAAATCCCAAATGGGGTCAGGAAGAGTTGAATACAACTGAACAACAACAAGAATGGGTCAATTCACCAACCCTTTGATTCCCAAGGCCAAAACACCCTTCCCTGGTCACTGCTCTTCTCTATGTGTTGTCTCCTACAATGAGAATGTAAGCTCCTTGAGGGCAGCTCCTGTCTTACTTTTGCATCTATATCCCCAGCACTTAGTGTGGTGCCCAGCACACAGTAACCTCTGAATGCTCTTTTCATTCATTTATCTTGGTTTCTCAAAGGCCTTGCCAGGGAAAGGCGAGCCCTGGAAGGTTCTGCCAAGCTTGAATGGCTTCGGACATGGGCTCAATTCTTGCCTGAGGACCAGGCCAGCTATGCTTGTAGAGGTTGCTCACTAGGTTGGCTCTAAGATAATGATTTTTTTCAGCCACCGCTGTCCTCACAGACAAGGCAACAGGGGAAGTTGCGCCAATGGAGTATGTGTCCACACTGATGAAATCAAGGGTCCATGAAGTATCGACATATGGAACAACTCTGTCATAAGAGCAAAGCTGAAACAACTGGGAGCCTTGGTCCTTTAACACGATTTGAAGTAGAATTATGCCTCGTCTCATAAAGCAAGCAGGAAGGGATTGTACACATTGATTACACTTCTGACTCAAGTCCTTCTGGCCTTCTCTCCCTCCCTATGGACATACCTGGCCTGAGAGACAGGACCTGACTCCAAGGCCTCTATCCATGATGTCCAGTGGCCTTTCACCTCGTCTGCAAATCGAGAAATGGAGTCTCAGAGAGAGGGAACTTGCCCACACTCACCCGCATACTGAGTGACAGGGGCGAGATTCAAACCTACGACTCTTCTGACTCCAAGCCCAAGGCACTTTCCACCATCCTACTCTTTGTTGTTGTTCAGCTGTGTCAGGCTCTTCGTGACCCCCTTTGGGATTTTCTTGGCAAAGACACTGGACTGGTTTGCTACTTCTTTCTCCAGCCCATTTTACAGATGAGGAAACTGAGGCAAACAGGGTGAAGTGACTTGCCCAGGGTCACACAGCTAGTGTCTGAGGTCAGATTTGAACTCAGGTCCTCCTGACTCCAAGCCCAGGGCCCTTTCCAGCTTTCAGGGATCAAGGTGTATCCATAATTAGGCAGTGTGGAATAAAAAGAGGTAATTGTGAAAACTGGGAACTGGTTGTGCATGAAAATGCTAATATTAAAAAAACACACACGTAAGGGGGGGTAATTATTTGCTTCAAAAAGGAGTAGGAGTGAATTGTAAGCTCTTGGAGAACATTTAAAATAGGATTTAATTTGTGCCTGGATTTTCAGGAACATTTCTCTGGAGTACAATGAGCTACATGCAGAACACCTCTAAGGCACAGGTCAGTCTCTTCAGAGAGCTGACCACAGAGGCAGTGTGCCCAGGAGGGCAACCAAACCTTGGGAGCACCCCTGAGCACAGAATCGCCTACCATCCTCCTCTGCTCTATGTTAACTCTCATGAGAATTCTCCATGTTGATGATAGATAGATAGGTAGATAGACAGACAGATAAGTAGGTAGATAGAGATAGCTATAGATAGAGATAGACAGCAGGCACACAGATACAGACAGACAAATAGGTAGGTAGATAGAGATAGATATAAACAGGCCAACAGACAGACAAATAGATAGATAAGTAAGTAAACGGATATAGATAGACAGGCAAATAGACAGGTAGATAGAGATAGATATAGATAGTCATACAGATAGACAGATAGCTATAGATAGAGATATAGACAGACAGAGAGACAGACAGACAGATAAGTAGACAGATATAGATAGGCAAATAGACAGATAAGTAGGTAGATAGAGATAGATATAGATAGACATACAGATAGATAGCTATACATAGAGATATAGGCAGACAGAGAGACAGACAGATAAGTAAGTAGACAGATATAGATAGGCAAATAGACAGGTAGAGATAGATATAGATAGACATGCAGATAGATAGCTATAGATAGAGATATAGACAGACAGAGAGACAGACAGACAGATAGATGGATGGATGGATGGATGGTCCTAGGATAGGTGGCAGAGTGGATAGTTTGGTAACTGAAGTTAGGAAGACCTGAGTTAGGATATTGCCTCTGGCATTTACTAGGTGTGTGAGCCTGGGCAAATGGATTAATCTCTTGAAGCCTCAGTTTCCCTCATCTGTAAAATGGCATTAGTAATAGCGCCCATCTCACAGGATTGTTGTGAAGATCACATGAGATCATAGAGAGTGCTTTGCGCACCTGAGAGTATTACATCAATCTTATTATCATTTTTACTATAATAGTAATTTTTATGCTCAGGTAGGAATCTCCTAATGATAGTAAGACAGTATCCCTGGCTCCCCTGCCCCTTTTGAATCCGATGCTGAGAGTCTTTGAGCAACCTGGCGTAAAGCGGTCAGTGCCTCCTCTCTCTGCCTCTGCCTGACCAGCTGGCTGATTATCCCCTGGCACATTTCCCCCACACTGACAGCTTTGGGTGATTCTTGGGAATAGGAATCATTTCATTGTACTTGCATTCCCCAACCTAGCACAGTGTACAACACATAGTAGGCACTTTAATAAATGCTTGTTGATTGACAGTTTAAGATTTAATGATCAGATTGTACTTCACAGAGTGAGGTTTACAAAAGATGGAAAAAATCAAGGTAGGATTGCAAGAGTTATTCCCCTTTTCAAGGTGCCCTGGGTCAGAGGTGTTTTTCTTCCCTTTCACTTCTCCTTTCTGGGGAAATCCCAGAGAATATATATAGCCAACACGGTTCACCTAAAAGGAGAAGCAGATTTGGTTCTGGGGAACACAGGTTGTAGGCATTGCTTTTACCCAGTGGAATGCTGGAACCAGTTGGCACTAGCAGGCAAGAGCCAATTGTTAAATTTTCAATGTGAGTACACCTTGGAAATTGGCAAACTGCAGGTTAAGGCTTGATATATTGATTTGCTGATAATCTAGACTTGGGCAAACGATGGAAAAAATGTTAATGATGCAGATTAAACTTACAAGTGTGTCTAGCTACATTCCCCCCCACACCCTAGGAGAGCTGGATGTTAAATATTTACCAGCACATCCCTGCTTTCACCCCTTTGCATCAGGAAGTTGCCCTGGGCATCCTGAGATATTCACAAACAGTCTGATTGAAGTCTGGCAGGAGCTGTTTGGAGAAGGTGAGCTAAGGAGAGCAGAGGGCCATAGACGCACCCCAGGGAGGGCTCGATCCCAGGCTCAGACACAGAGTGAGAAGGAATCTTTCAGACCTTTTATTCCAAACCACTCAGGAGGTTAAATGATCAAGGTTACAAGGCCAAGTCACTTCACTCTTCTGGGCCTAGACTTCTCAACCGTAAAGATGAATCCAGTGCAGAGTAGGAGATGACTGAGGGCAGGCACTGTGATTTTTTATCTCAGGAGTCATCTGGAAAGAAGACAAGCTACTAAGTCACAGAAGCTGCAAAGCCCTCCTGGGTGCTTACTAGTAGCTCGACCTTGGGCAAACAACCCAACAGTAACAGGTTGCATTTATATAAGATTTGTAAAGCATTTAAATGTATTATCTCAACCTGACTCTCAGTTCCCTTCTCTGTAAAACGAAGGGGTTGGGCCCTTCCACGTCTGGGTCTAGGAGCCAATGGTTTCTATCCCCAGGACCTGGCACATGTTGGGTTGTATCAGGGCTTCTTAACCATTTTGGTATCGGCACACATAGCAGGCACGTCAAGAATAAATGTTTATTGAGTCATACACTGCTTTGGCAATCTGATAAAGTCTACGGATCCCTTCTTAGATTCACCCTTTTAAAATAATTGAAGGAAATGCTGAATTTCAGTTGGAGACTAGTAAAAATAAAAATGGGATCCCCCCCATGTTGAGAGACACCCCCACCTCCCAACCCTCACCCCTTGGACTGTATGATCCATCCCCATGGCTCCTCCCTGTTCTAAGTGTTACGAACCTCCAGTGGCAGGAGCAGAATTAGAAACCAGATGTTCGGTCTCAGGAATCTTTGAATACATCACTGCTGCCTCATTAACCAAGGTTAAATAGTGGGACAATCAGATTCTCCCGTCTCTAAAAATGCGTTTTAAAAGATATTTAGGTTTACATAAATATGTTCTATATACACATATACAGTCATATATAAATATGAATATATGTATACAGAATCTAGTTCTATATAGCATAACTATATATTTATAGGATGTATAACTACATGCATAGTTATAGTTATACATCATATGTAACTATATAGTTACTTATATACTATACATAACATATTTATAACGATATAGTTATTATATAGCATATATAACTATAGTTATAAATAGTTATATATGATTACGTAACTATTTTATAACTATGGTTATTTATATAGTGTACATGTAACTATATAGGCAGTTTTATATATAGCATATATAACCATATGTTTATAAGTATAAATACATAAATAATTATATAGGTACCTATCTTACAACCAAGAGAATCCGGCCTCAGCCGCGACCAGAGGCGTTGCTAATGGGCTCATTACTTGGCCGTGACTGCCAGCTGAATTGTCAATACAGAATTAACAATTAAAGCTCAATTACAGCCCCCTGCTCCCTCATTAGTCGCTGGGAGCCCCGCCCGGGAAGGCCAGCGTTCTTCGGGCTGGCTGGCGGTCCGTGGGTCCGGCGAGGCTGGGCTGGGGGGAAGTGCTGGGGGGCCTGGGGGGGCGGGTCCCGGGAGAAGGGAAGGAGAGTGGGAGGAGGCAGGGCTGGCCAGGAGGAGGGAGGAGGCAGGGATGCTGCGCTGACAGCATCGGCAGAAGGGGCGGGCGCCCGCGTTTCCTCCTCCCCCTTCCCGCGGCAGCGGCCCGGCCCGAGGGGAAGACGAGCCTGCCCGGGGCAGGCTGGACATCCCGCTGCCTGAGTTCCTGGCCGCCGCCGGGGGTCTCGGGTCTCCGCAGCGGGCAAGGGCGCGGAGCCGCGGCCGGGCGGGCAGTGTCCGCACCGGAGGCGCTCGGAGCTCCCGAGGGCTCCCCGCCGGGGGCCGCGCTGCACCCCAAGCTGCCCGCATGGACACGGCGCTGAAGCGGGGCCGGCAGGAGGAGCGGCTGGGCGAGGTCCCCCAGCCGCCGCCGCCGCCACCCACGGGAGACATGGACGAGGAAGAGATGGAGCCCGAGATGATGGAACAGGAGGAAGAAGAGGAGGAGGAGGAGGAGGGAGAGGAGGAGGTGGACCCCCGTATCCAGGTACGGGGGGGGGCGGCGGCGCGGAACCTTCTCGGCCGCGTCTGTGCGGGCTGCGGGACTGGGGCTGCAGCGCCCCACCCCCACTCCAAGCTGTCCCCATCCAGACCGAACTGACACCCCCTCCCCAGCCACTCCCTCCCCCGAGTGGGTGCGGTACGCCCGCGTGGACTGCAGGCAGGGGACAGGGGCTGCTTAATTTGGGGCGGGGCTGGGGTTTGGGCAGACCAGGCTGATGGAGGTGAGGTGGGAGGGGTCCGGACACCCGTTCCTCGGTGAGAGCCCCCCTCCCTTCGCCTGCCGCACCCACGCGCGCTGCTCGTGGGCTCCCGCTGTTTGCAGCCTACTCCAGAAGCATCTGGGGGTGGGACCGACTAGCGGTTCGGAGGGAGACGGACAACAAAGGACTAAAGGGGGGGGTGAGTGGGAGGTTCCCGGCCCAGCATCGGCTCTCCGGTGGGAGATTTCATTCCTTCCTTTACCCCTTGAGCCAGTGCCTAACAGTGGTATGTCTTCATCTCTGGGTCTGGCTACGACATTGCAAAACGTCCTAGCTCCTTCCCTTTCTCGTGCACGGAGAGAGGACTCGTCCCGTGACTCGGGGATGCCCCCGCCCTCATGGGCATCAGTCACCGTGGGAGCAGATTTCCCGCAGGGACAGAATATGCCCAGGATCTCTGCTTTCCATAGCCGAGTGTGCAGGTGCCCCGGTCCCAGGTGGGGTGAGTCACCGGGGCATCCCCATCCAAAAGTCTTCCCTTTCCTCTAATTCATTGTTAGCCAGTATGATTTCATTATCGCTTCGGTGGGACTCCCGCTGCAGACCAGCCCCTTGGCCCGAGTCCTTTGCACAAACCCTGGTTTTTTCCTGAATGTTGGGGCAGTGGTAGCGAATAAGTAGCACGGACAGGAAGGATTTAAAGCCGCTTCTGTCTTCTCATTCCTAAAAACAAGTTTAAAAACCCTGTAAGGTCAGAATTCAGGCAGGGACCTGGGTTTGAGAACTCACCTTCTTCCCTCTCCCAGAATCTCCTAACTCATAAACACAATACAATAAATTATTTTTTCCAGGATCTTGTCTCTCCCTCCACCCCAGGGTCATTTTTTTATTGCTTAAAAGCTCTCATGCAATTTTTCTGAGCCGTAATTGGTTTTTCTGTTCACAAATCAATTAAAAGATCATTTAACTCTATGGATGGGATTTGAATGAATTGTTGGAACCGATTAGCAAGATAAAGGTCAGGTGGGAAATCGAGAATGATGCTTTTGAATGAAAATATTCAATTTAGACCCCTTGAAACCAGGGCTAAACCCCCCCCACCCCCACCCCGAGGCTTTTCAGAGCAAGGCTCTTTGTTTCCAGAGTACAGATCGTACAACTTTAACCCTCCTTTTTACAAACTCCAATTTTCGGTGGAGGGAGCAGGGTCATATAAGTAAAAGTTAGCCGTTTTAAAAACAGCTAGGGAGATCACCTAGCTGATAGTATTGTTGTTGTTTTTAATCCGTTCATTAACAAAGAAGAAAATTGCCCTCAGCTCCTTCTGAGCTATTGTCAGAAGTCAGGCCTTTGATTTAAAGACTTACAGTTTTGTGAGCTGGGTAGGTTATCGACCTCGGTTTATTTTGGGACTTCTAGGCTTCCTTTCTTACCTTGTTAAAAAGAGAGAGCGCTGGGACACTCACCAGTGCCAAAGTAGCAGATGCTGCTACTCTGAAGTCAGATTCCTGGAATAAGTCTTTGCATTGGCAAGCAAAGAGAAATAAACCTTGGTGGGATTACCAGAAAAAAAACAAAACAAAACAAATTAGTCTTAAAAATCTTACATGGATTTACACACACACACACACACACACACACACACACACACACACACACACGCATGCATTTAATTGGTGGTTTTTTCATTTCCCTCTTCCCCCTTAACCAGGGACCCCTTTCATGGAAAGGTTTTTAAAACATGAGAAAGTTCATCCATGTTTCTGTTTCTAGTTAACATTCCAGCCAGGGCCTGAGCTATTTTCTTTGGGATGGCTGTCAGAATTAATAATTATCCTTTTTTCTTCTATTTTGTTCTTTCTGTCTGCTTCCAGGTAATATACTAGCTTTACTTTAAAAAACAAACAGAAAACTCCTATAAATCTTTAAATTGGGTCTTCTTAAGCTTTTTTTTTTTGAGTCATGTTCATTTTGAGTCATGTTTGAGGCGTGAGGTGATCCCTTTCTTAGACGAAAGTTTTTAAATTATTGAAGGAAATGCTAAATTCCAGGTAGAGATTAGTGAAGGTAGAGATGTAATATTGCCCCCCCATCCAGGTTTGCAGGCCCCTCTGGTTAGGAGCCCCTACTTTACACTGTTTCCTTCTTTCCCCAGGGGGAATTGGAGAAGCTAAACCAATCCACAGATGACATCAACAGACGGGAAACTGAACTTGAGGTAGGGATTTTTGCGTCCCCTTCCACCAGGGATTTCTCTTTTTGGCCCACTGTTTGATTTTAATGGTTGTGAAATGATTGTTGGGGTTCTCTCCTTGGAAGGTTGGCAAGTAGCTACCTGAAACATTTGGATTCAAACAGCTGAGCTAGACTGAGCCTGGTTCCTTGTTCATACCCTGCTTTTCATGACTGGAGCTGGCTTAGTCGGGCCCAATCTCAAAGGTCTGCATTGCATCACCTAGACTTAAGTGTGAGCCTGATGGATCTGGGGAGAACAATCCAGGAGCTGCCGGGGTCCAGGAAGTGCCCTCCCACCCAGATTAATGACTCTCCCCTCTGTGAGCTTAGTAAGCTCCTTGAGAGTAGAGATCATCAGACTATCCTTAGTCTTGCCAATGCCTAGCACAGTGATGGCACACAGCAGGTGCTTAATACTTAATACTTGTTGCTTGACCTACCTCTGTATCCCCAGCCCTTTAGATAGGAACACACACACACACACACTCTTGTTAAATTTTTGTTGAATTATTGAAGTCGAAATGACAAGCTTTGAGGCAATCGTATATATTTCAGGGTGGCCATTTTAATTTTTTTTTTGTATACTTGGAACTATTTCATGTTTATTCAGTTTGGCTGTGGAAAGAAAGGGCAGAATTGGGAAATTACAGCCCCTTCCTTTGCATGTATGACATAGTCTTTTGAATGGTACAGAGAGTTGGTCAGCAAGGCAAGGTCTTTGGGCTGGGAAAAATTCTAAAGGCAAGCTTGATTTACATTTTGTCAAGTCAAAAAGTACTTATTAAATGCCTACTGTGTACTAAACGCTGGGCTAAATTCCAAAAGAATTTGAGAACTAGGTAGTAAACAGGTTCATTTTCTTCAGGGCTACCAATTGGTCTCTAGTCCTTTTTGGATTTTTTCATCTGTTGGAAAAATTGAACAATCTTTTTTAGTTTGTGGAAGAATTCAAATGATGCTCTAGAGGGGAACAGTCTGAATCTCATAAATTGATCTGGTATCTCAGCAAGGAGAACCAAGGCTTTAACAGAGAAAATAGTTGGACTGACTAGCTTTTGTGACTGTAAGCAAATCATTTTCTCTCTGAGTCTCAGTTTCTCATCTGTAAAATGGGGAGAGAAGAAGAGAGTAGATGATTTCCAAGCCACTTCTTGCTTTAAGCCTGATCTAGAAGCCAAATGTAAACTAAAAGAGAAGAAAATCTCTTTATTTGTTCCTGATTGGTACATTTGTAAATGGGATGCGAGTGTTGACAGAATAATTTGCTAGAATATTCTGCCAGCTCTGTTTCTGTGCCCCAGATCTAGGCAGCTTGGAGGCCAAGTAGATTGAACTGGGCCTGGAGTCAGGAAGACCTGAATTCAAATCCAGTCTTAGATACTTACTAGCTGTGTGGCCCTGGGCAAGTCACTGAACCCTCTTTGCCTCAGTTTCCTCACCTGTCAAATGAGCTGGAGAAGGAAATGGCAAAACCGCTCCAGTATCTCTGCCAAGGAAACCCCAAATGGGGTCATGAAGAGTCGGACGGGACTGAACAACAAGTCTAAGCTTGGAGTAAGTAAATACAGATATGGCAATCTGAACTGGTGCCTATGTTGCTTGGAACTCAGATGGGTTAATGTTGTTCCAGCCATGCAAATTAGGAAGGAATGAAAGAAATACAGGATCATAGATTTGGAGCAGGGTCTCTTCAGTGTTGTGTTGTTATGGACCCTTTTTCAAGTCAGTCTGGTAAAGTCTCTGGACTCTTCAGAATTAAGTCCATAAAATAAAATATATAGGATTGCGAAAGAAACCAAGTATATTGAAATAAAGATGTAATTCCTCTTATCCTCCAAGATAATGGACCTTCTAAAAATCTCTCTAAGGATCCAAGTTAAGAACCTCTGATTTAGAGAGAGCATTAGCGGAACCTGGGTTCAGATCCTGCACCGGACAACTCTGTGACCTTGGACAAGTTTTTTAACCTGTCTAGCCACCAGTTTCCTCAATTGTTAAATGAGAAGTTGAACTACATGGTCTCCATCCCTTCCAGTTTTAAATCTATGACCCCTTGACCTCTCAGGCCCTGCAGGTAATCTGGGCCAACCCCTTCATTTTTTACAATTGAGTGAACTGAGGTTCAGACATTCTCCAGAGTGTTAAGGGGCTGTGCTGGAATTGAACTTGGGCCCTCTTTTGCCAGTATTTTGCACCACTGCTAATTTTTCCGCCCTTTTTTGGGGGGGGCATTTGTAAACATTTGTGGACAAACTAAGTATACAGAATGCTTCACAAGTCTTAGACCAAGCTTGGGCAATGAAAACTCAAAAGCAGTCTGTAAGGGAGAATGCTGGGAAATGGGCTGGATAAGGGGATTCTCTGGTGAGTACAGGTGGCCACCATGAAAAGCTTCCTCCTGAAGAGAGTTTTTGGTAATTGTGAAACTTTTCTTGATTTGTGAGGCTAATGTACAGTTTAACCCATTAATGAGCTTGTCTCAGCTTTCTTTCCAACCTCACTTTGGATGCACTTAACTCTTCCTAGATGAGGGGCAGCTATATCCAGGTGGGTGCTTCCCACCTCCCAATAGCTCCTGGAGCAGGTACCCTTCTGTTCTTTGATCGTCCCCAGTACAGGAGAGTGAGGAATGAGGAACACAGAATAACAATCTTGTGGTCAAAGGTTGCCGTGGAAGGGTGGGGCTATGGCTGTCTGGCTGATTTAATGGGTGCTATAGCCAAGAGTGACTAATAGGCTTTATAAGCAAAACACACTTGGGGCAATGTGAGATCATAGGTTCCTGGATTCAGAGACATTTGGAATTATCTAGTCTGACACGTTTATTTTGTTTTGTTTTGTTTTTGCTTTTTGGTGAGGCAGTCAGGGTTAAGTGACTTGCCCAGGGTCACGCAGCTAGTAAGTGTCAAGTGTCTGAGGTCGAATTTGAACTCGGGTCCTCCTGACTCCCAGGCTGGAACTCTATTCACTGTGCCACCTAGCTGCCCCTTGACACCTTTATTTTAGGGAAACTGAGGCCTCTTGAGGGAGCCAACCTGCCCATTCTCCCTCAAAACAGAGCAGCTAGCTTTTGTGATGCCAAGGGATTACAGGACCTGAGACATGGACATGATATATTCTGTTATACAGGGTTTAGGCACGTTGGTGTCCTTGGGCACTTTTTATTTTATTTTTTAAAATTTTATTTATTTTATTTTTTATTTTATGTAACTATTTTAAAGTTTAACTCATGTCTTTGGTCTTTACATCATAGTCTTTTCCCCTTAATCCTTTCCACCTTTTTTTTTTTTTTTTTTTTTTTTGGTGTGGGGAGGGGAGAGTTTGGACCTATGAGTTCATTAGTGTAGGGGACTGCCAGGTGAGAAAACATCTGTAATGCAGATTGGCAATGTGTCTGCAGTTGATAAACTTTACAGAGTTGCCTGGGGCATGGAGTGGTTAAGTGACTTGTCCAGGCTCACTCACACAGCCAGTATATGTCAGAGACAAAACTTGAACCCAGGTTTTTTCAGACTCTGAGACCACCGCAAAGAAAAATAAAATCAGTGGAACAAAACTAATTGATACAGTGACTGTCTGATGGCATAAGCCTCATTCTGCATCCATAGTCCACCACTTCTCTAGGAGGAAAGTACGGACAATGAAAGTGAATTTTTAAATTGCTTTTTCTATCTTCTCCCTTCCTGCTTTGGATTTTATGTCTAGTGATACCCACTAGAGTCTTTGGTGACAATTTTTTTAATACCATATGTCCCTAGTATTCTGATTCCAACAGGTGAGAAGTCAAGATATGTAGAAGGATATTGATATTTGTAATACATTTATAATAATATTTATAGTAACTCAATTATATAGTGTTTAGCAATCTACAAAGTGCTTTTCTCATTCGATCATTAAATTTGCTTATATTAAGAGTCAGAAGACCCAGATTCAAATCTCAGCTTACTTAAAGCTGTATGCCATTGATCAAATCTCTTTAATCTCTCAGAGCCTCAGTTTCCTCGTGTATAAAATAAAGGATTGGACTGAATATTTTTTCAAAATCCTCCAATTATTTTTTTAACACTTATTTTTTAAAATGTTGAGTTTCAAATTCTCTCCCTCCCTTCAACCCCTCCCCCACTCATTGAGAAGGCAAGTAATATGATCTCAATTTTTCATATGAATTCGTACAAAAAATATGTCCAGCTGTGTTGCAAAAGAAAAAGCAAGAAAAATAAAGTGAAAAACTCATGCTTTAATTTGCACTCAAAATTCATCAGTTCTCTCTCTGGAGGCGGATAGTATTTTTCATTTTGAGTTCTTCAGAGTTCTTGGGCCACCGTATTGATCGCAGTCATTTACAGCTGGTCATGGTACAGTATTGTTATTATGTACAGTGATTAGGTTCTGCTCTCTTCACTCTGCATCAGTTCATATAAGTCTTCCCAGGTTTTTCTGAAACTCACCTGCTTGTCATTTCTTATAGCACAATAGTATTCTATCATAGTCATATACCATAATTTGTTCAGATTGAATATTCTTTTTCAAATATGTTTTATTTTCCCCCAAATTATATGTTAAAACAAGGATTTTTAAAACTTTTTTTTTTAAGTTTGAATTCCAAATTCTATCCCTTTCTTCCCTTTCCTCTCCCTGAGATGATAAGCAATCAGATATAGGTTATATGTGTGCAATCATGTACAACATTTCCATATTAGTCATTTTGTGTACAAAAAGACTCAAAAGAAAAAGAATAAAAGAAAGTAAAAAATAGCCTGCTCCAGTCTGTCTTCAAACAATATCATTTCTTTCACAACATGACTAATATGGAAGTATGTTTAATATGATTGTACATATGTAGCCTGTATCAGATTGCATGCTGTCTTGGTGAAGGGGGAGAGGAGAGGGAGAAAAAATTTTGGAACTCAAAATCTTATAAAAGTGAATGTTGAAAATTATATTTACACGTAATTGGAAAAAATAGTATTACGTGGAAAACAA